TTTTCTTATTGAGTTGTAGGAGTTCTTTATTTATTCTGGATACCAGTCCCTTATGAGATATCTGATGAGCAAATTTGAAAATATTTGTCCCACTGTGCTTCCACTCTGTGGGTTGTCATTTCCTCTCTCTCTGTCTCTTTTTTTAAAGAGACCAGGTCTTACTTTGTTGTTCAGGTATTGCCCAGGCTGGATTCAATTGGAGGCTTATCTCAATTTGGGTCTGTGGCCTTGTGAATTTGGCCACACTTGGCTCTGTAATGAACTTATGGGCACAGGACTGGGAACAGTCTCCTGACCAGGGCTGGAAGTGAATTGGAAATGGTAGTCCAGCTCTACTGAAAGGGCTTTGGCGTGTCCCCACAGGGTTGGGGTTTACTGGATAAGATGGAGCAGATGAGCCAGGAGAACATGACGGACATCTTGAGGCCCTTCTTGATCAGTCTGGTGAGACAAGGGGCAAGAGGGAGGTGACCAATGAACATCCCACCCAGCACAGAGTCTGCTCCCACCCCTGCTCCCACAGCCCCCCACATATCACCACACCCTTGGTCCAATTGCTAAACAATAGGAATGCCTTGGACATGAGTCATTGTAGTTCTCAAAGGAAAATTATCATCGTCATCACCACCAACCACCCCTGTCATGGTACAGAGTGCCCGTTAATGAGCATCACTCTAGCTTGGCGCCCGTAGCTCAGTGAGTGGGGTGCCAGCCACATGCACTGAGGCTGGTGGGTTGGAGCCTGGGCCGGGCCTGCTACACAACAATGACACAACTGCAATCAAAATATAGCCAGGCGTTGTGGTGGGTGCCTATAGTCCCAGTTACTTGGGAGGCAAGAGAATCACTTAAGCCCAAGAGTTTGCTGTGAGCTGTGATGCTACAGCACTCTACTGAGGGCCACAGTTTGAGACTGTCTCAAAAAAAACAAAAATGAGCAGACTCTGTGCCAAGGATGGTGGTGTGCTGAGCCCTAGGAAAGACATTCATCTCCAATAATCCTCATTGCATCTCTGTGACGTTACAGATTAGGAAACTGAGGCTCAAACTTTCCCAGTAGGTAAGGGATAGAGTTTGAACCAGCTCTGTCTGATCCCAGGGCCTCAGCTGTCAGATATGGAGCCAGGTGGGCCTGGGTCCAATACCAGCCCTTTCCACTTGCCCAGGTGTCCTAACCCCTCTGAGCCCATTTCTTCACCAAGAAATGGATGTGGCTCGGCGCCTATAGCTCAACCGGCTAAGGCGCCAGCCACGTACACCTAAGGTGGCAGGTCTGAATCCCCAGTCCAGACCCGCCAAACAACAATGATGGCTGCAACCGAAAAAAAAAAT